AGCCAGGCCTTCGGTCGCCTCCAAAGCACGGTTTGGAATCGTCATGGTCTCCAAGTAAGCTCGAAGCTGAAGATGTACAAGGCCGTCACCCTGCCGACGCTGCTATACGGAGCGGAGACTTGGACAGTGTACACGAAGCAGGATCGCCGACTGAACCACTTCCATCTCGTCCTCGACCGACTGACCTGGAGGAGGACAGTGAAGACAGACGCTGCGATCTATGAAGCCAACCGCATCGCCGCCACCAAAGTGAAACGCGAAGCCCGCAAATCACAGCTACGCCCAGTACGCAACCCCGACGCACAACCACTTCCATCGTGTCCTCGGCGTCAACGGACATGCCGGGCACGAATTTGACTTATTGGATACGTCCGGATCAACTGCACCTCTCGGACCGCACCAACCGCCGTCCCTTCGCCCTCCTCTTCCTCGTCCTCTCCGCCGCCAACTAACTCTGCCCACTCTTCCGAACCACCACGTCCATCCATCCTCCTCCTCCTCCTCCTCCTCCTCCTCCTCCTCCACTGCCCAAACAACGGCCGCTCTGGCGGCTGTCACGCACGACAACACTGCACGACAACACCGCACACAACCCTGACACCACAACAGACACCATGCCCCAACCTCCGACTCCAGAAGTGAGGACCAGGACTACACCTGCCCCCACTGCGACCGCACCTTCACCTCACACATCGACCTGGTCGGTCACTTGCGAAATCATCGCAGAGAGTCTGGTGGATCAGTGCCTGGAGCACCAACCTACACTCACCGCACTCGCCTCCACTGCCCACACTGCCCTCTCACCTTCACGTATCGCATGGGCCTATTCGGCCACATGCGCATCCTCGAAAGCGGAATTGACCGCCCTCCCGACTCACCCATTACGCCAAACCCCACTGACACTTCATCATCCTGTGAGCCCATCACCGTCATCGCAGCTGACACCGACACCACCGACTTCACCTGCCCACACTCTCCACGTACGTTCAACTCTCGCATCGGCCTGGTCGGTCACTTGCGAATCCATGGCACAGAGATTGGCGAACCAGTGCCTGGAGCACCAACCTTTACCCACCAAGATCGCCTCCACTGCCCACACTGTCCTCGCACTTTCAGGCATCGCATGGGCCTATTCGGCCACATGCGCATCCACGAGAGCGGAATTGAACGCAATCCCGACAAGCCCACCACATCCAACACAACCACCATGCCCAGCCCTACCCTTGCTTCATCGCCCTGTGAGCCCACCACCACAAGCACCACCATCAACTCCGCCGTAGCCGACGCAGACACCGCCGACTTCTCATGCCTACACTGTCCACGCACATTCACCTTTCACATAGGACTGGTCGGTCACTTGCGAAGTCATAGCACAGAGGCTGGCGAACCAGTGCCTGGAGCACCAACCTACACTTACCGCACTCGCCTCCACTGCCTACATTGACCTCGCACTTTAACGCATCGGATGAGCCTATTCGGTTACATGCGTATCCAAGACGACCCGCGGTAGACAACCGTCGGCTACACCACACCATAACACCCTCCCGTCCTGCCTCCTCCTCCTCCTCCTCCTCCTCCTCCTCCTCCTCCACCACCACCAACACCACAACCACACATCAGCACTCACACACCGCAAGCACCCAACTGCCACCTCCCACGCAAGTGGGAAGTGTGCATCTCGACTCGGTCCTCATGGGGCTTCGGCCGCACGGTGACTTGAGTCTGAGACTATCCCGACACGTCAAGCGTCGTGGATAGGAAGGTTGCTGATTGACGCCCCCAATCTGTCCACGCAGTTCGTCCCGTTGTGTGTGTGTGTGTGTGTTGTGTGGAGTGGCGAACTGGTGGGCTGGGCGACGGGCTGAAACAGCACCTTCCACGGCACTCTCACGCAAGTGAGAGACACGCCGTTCAACCCCGTTGTGTGAAATCCTGGTGTTTGTGTATATGGGGGGCCAGGTCGTGCACGTGGCGCGCGCAGTCATGGTCAGTCGATCATGCCAGCCACCGCGCCCATTTCCCACTCCAGTCTGCTGACCGCCTCGGATAGCGGCTACGGTGTGGGAATGGGAAGGGAGAGTGAGGTCGACGACACAGCGCACTTTCTCCTCACTATAAACCATCTGACGCGCTTGAAGCTATCACGGTGCGCTAAAAGCCGTGGCTTAGAAGGTTGCCAACTGACGGGATAACTAGGACATCCTCGACAGGAGGTCTGAGAGTCAGGCTGCAATGGCTCCTTCTTAATGTGGCCTTTATGGCACTCCCACCACAGTGTGGGATCCGAGCCAGACGCTGGCGGCACGCCTAGGTGCGGCTTCGGTCGTGCCAGCCTCCAATCTCTGTTGTGTTGTTGAAAATCCTAGTCATTGTTGTGTGGACCAGGGGATGTTGTGAAACGCCAAGGTGAGGATCTGTCCAAGCCGTCCACCTGCGGCCTTCCTCGTCTCCGGTTTTCTTGACTCTGTCTTGACACCCGGCTCAGGCGGGGGAGGAGGAGAGAGTGTAGGTAGATGCAGCGCAAGTCTACCGGCACTATAAACCCCTGCGCAAGTCATCGTCCCTGCTCCCACCATCTGCTGTGGGGTATACGATGAACATCGTGGAAGTCGACGGTCGAACTCTCTTGTGTGTGTGTGCTTGCGTGCGTGCGTGGCCCGGACGACATAACGCCCAAATTGCTGAACGATCTCGCTGGAGAACAATCCAAATCGCTGCCCCTGCTCTTCCAAGCCTCATTCGTAGCAGGCTGTTTACCCGCCGACTGGAATTCTTCGCGGACTTCACCACTGTACAAACGTGGTAACAAGGTCTCGGCGAACAAATACGGATCAATCAGCCTCACATTAGTCTGATGAAAAATTGTAAGAATGATAGTTACCGAGAGCTAATGCACCTCCTAGGGCAGCTTAATCTGCTACGTGATGCCAAGCATGGATTCCGTAGAGGCAGATCATGCGTGACAAACTTGCTCTATTGTTTGGAACGCTGGACCAAGGCAGCTGATAGAAGGAATCCAGTGCACGCCGTTTCTGTTCGGACATTAAGAAGGTTTTCGATCGCGTACCACATAAACGACTCCAATACAAACTCAACTGAACAGGCTTTAGGGGTTATCTCCTGAGGTGGACTCAAAGTTTTTTAAGCGGAGTCTCCCAAATTATCTATGTCATCGACAGGCAGTCGGTGGAGGTAGCAGTTGAAAGCGGTATTCCCCAGGGTTCCGTTCTTAGTCATACCCTGTTCATTACATATATACGCCAAAGACTGATACGGTGGGCTAAATTGTTACCTTGCCATTTTCGCTGATGATGTTTAGTTTTGGACCGTCATTCGAACTGAATTTTTTTCAGTTTATTTGGTAAGGATAATAGGTAAGGCGTTTGAAAACCTGTTGATTACATGTCAACTCGTTAGATGCAACCGTACACGAGCAACGAATATCGTCGTTAGTAAAACAGTACTTGATTCTGTTGAGTAGCATTGTTTCAAAGAAAAAATTCCCGAGTGTCCTGGAGTAGTTAGCGCAGGTTCAGACTGTCGAGTGAAAACAGGGGACACAAATAATCATCCAAGCGTTTCTTGATGAATTGTAGAGACGTCGACTCCACGATTGATTGAAGGAGATCGTTCCATTTCTCCACTATCTTTTATATGAAAAATTCAGAACGAAGATTCAGCCTGGAATTGTTTTGTGTAACTTTATCGAGTGACCACGAAGATGTTGTGAAAGGTGCCACTGAAACATGTCCTCAAAGTTAAGTCTGTGCTCAAGGCAATGTACTATCATGTTAACAAGGATGAGGTCGTTTCTTTGCTGCCTGTAACACAGAGGGAATAAATTAAAACAATTCGGTCCTTCAATGTAGGGCTTGCTCTTTAAACCGTTCACCATCTATTTTACACGACGTTATACTCTTTCTAGGCATGTTCAGTCCTTTACTAACTATGGACACCACGCTTTTATGCTATATTCTGAATGGAGCCGAACAAAAGTGCCGTTAACTCTTCCAAAAAGGTCTTTGTCAAAGGTTACGAACGGCCTCTTGATTGCATGGAGCACTCCCATGGCGTTTTTTGCAGCCTTGTTGCACTGCAGTGTTGGATTCGTGTTGCTCTCTATTAAGACACCAAGATCCTCCTGCAAAGATTCTGTGGGAAATGTAATGTCTTTCAGTGTAATGTCCTCAAGCTCTCATTTGAGTGACAGTTGGTTGGACACAGATGAATGACGGCACACTTCCGCACATTGAAATCCAGAAGTCATTTCTCGACCGCGTTTGAAGTCGGTGCAGATTGTTTTGAAGGGCTCTCTGGTCATTTGGGCTCTTACTGATCTGCCCGATCTTAACGTCTTCGGTAAACATTATTTTGTCGCAGTCAATTTCCTGAAGGCTGTCGTTAACGTAAAGGATGAACAGCAATGGTCCCAGAACTGAGCCTTGCGGCACACCACTGGTCACGTTCACCCATTCTGACATGTCATCTCCGATAGAGACAAGCTGTTTCCGACCAAAATAAACGCCCTTATCCAGTTCACAAGACCTCCCTGGACGTCGATGGCGTTCAATTTGTGAAGAAGGGGCTGGTGCGGGTCAGTGTCGAATGCTTTGCAGAAATCGTTGCACACGACATTGACTTCAAACCCTCTTCTATAGCCCTGGTCCAGATCTCCGGACAAGTTAGCAGATTTGAGAGGCATGAACGTCCTCACCGGAAGCCATGCTGAAAATCCTACAAGACATTATTTGCTTCACAAAATTGCGGTATAACGCTCTTTACTAGAGCTTCTATCGTTTTGCACGAGTAGCAAGTTAAGCTAATAGGCCTGAAGCTGCTTGCTGTCATCCTGCTTCCTCCCTTATGTAAGAGAACGAGGTTAGTTGTCTTCCACTGCGATGGCAGCCTCCTTGTTCTCACTAACAGCTCAAAGAGAGTGGAAAAAGGCTTCGACAGCTCCGTTGATAACTCCTTAAGTATCGGCCTAAGAATCTCATAGGGTCCAGGAGACTTATCTCGAGTTATTTGACCGAGGACGCGTCTTGCTTCTTCGACGGAAAAAGCAACGGTTTCAATGATGACAGTATCTTGGCGCATTTGAAAATCCTGGCTGTCTTCTGAGGACTCCTTCGTAAAAACCGATTGAGAAAACTGAGACAAAAATTGCTCTTTCTGTGGCCTTTCAACTAATAAGTTTCAGAGGCTATTCTTTAGACACGCAATTTCGTCCCTATGTTTTCTCCTATTTAAGAGAAAAGTGAACTCGGTCGATCCGACTATCTGATTCACGATAGAAGCTGAAACAGATAACCAACTGCCCTTACTCGGTGTGCTTATGCGTCAGTCTGCAACTGAGTAATTGTAAACCACAGTACGCAGAAAAGTCACCGACGCTAGTTAAATACTACACTTTAACGGCGATGAACCTCTGTCTCACAAACGTGGCTGTGTCCGCAGTCTATTATAAAGGATTAAAACACGCTGCATCATGCCAGTAAAAAAAGGACTGAGCGATTATACCTTCGTAATCTTTTCACAGATAATGGCGATCCCAGCCCTCTTATCGAGAAAAAAAAGCGCCAAGCTAACGGGGAAAGTCTAGAAGGACATTCCATACATTATAGGGGTCTCCGAGGCGGTATATCGGCGGTTACAACTCGTCGGAGTGGCCATAGTCCATCGATCCCTGGCAGCAATTCGACGCCGTTTGATGCAACCTAAGGACGCGCTACCACCCATTGAAATTTTAACAGTTGTCTACAAAATAAGTTGTAATGATGTGACTAAAAATACGTTAGGAAAACCGGGCGGAAATCGTCGACACGTTTACAAGAGATCAAATTGGCAACTTGGAGGCTACACCCAAACTCTCATATTACAATGTGTTGGAGAAATTGACCATACTTTCGCTTTTCAAAGAGTCACCATCTTAATTCGGGGTGATTCAAAGGCAGAACGGCTAACCCCTGAGGCATGATACTTAGATGTCAAATACATAAATAGGCACATAGACTTTCCTGCAGCCTACAAAGTCCTGCGCGATTGCGTTCATGAGGCTCGGGAGAAGATGGCCACACAACTTTGGGAATTCATGCAGACACAGACTAACGACGGGCCCATTCTATGAGGATGAAAAACCTCATAAGCCCAAGTCTGACGAGGTGACGACTAACGACTCACGCAGCTAAAAAGCCAACAAAACATCCACCAAAAGGCCGAGGCAGCGAGAACCGAAAAGAGTCAACAGAATGAGGCCGATTAGCGCTGCACGTCAGCTGTATTTCTGCTCGATTAATGGAATTTACGCTATTAGGGCAATAAGTCTCCTGTAGCACATTCACAGGCCTCCGATTTTGGATTTCCTCGTTCCTACTACTTGCAAGCCCAGAAAGACGAATTATCTGAAGAACAATACATTTAAAGTTTCTACAAAGGCTCAGCTGC